AAAAAAAAAAAAAAAAATAGCACCTTTGAGACAAATAACTAAGAAAATCAGCAACAAAATATCATGGGCATTTGACAAGTGGACATAAAAGTACATCAAAACTTTTGAACATATCCCTTAAAAAGGAAACTATGTGCGCTAATACACTCCCTAATTTCTCTTTCATTGTTACTCATTTTATGCAGATGAGAATACAGTTTATTACTAGAATGTTCTGTTGCCAATGTGAGGAATAGTAAAAAAAACAAAATTACACTCATGAAAAAAATTACAGGAAAAGACTTTCTTAAAGATTTCGCTGCGCAAGGTTGCTTGCGTATATAACTAAGACTTCCTTGTTTATTTTTTTCTTCTATACTTAAATCCTTAAATTTAATACCTTCATTACATTGTACAAGCACAGCCCTTCCAAATTAATTAATCCAATTGTATCCAAATTTTCCATCCTATTAATAGTGCTTCATTTCCTATATTGTTAGATCTGTTGTACTTTCTATTGTTTCCTCAAATCAGGCTACTTGGCGGTTTTATTCTACTGATTCAAGACGAACAAACCTGACAGCTACCTGGCGATATTATGAATATAGTCTTCCGTCCCTCAGGCATGTATCAGTGCTATGAATGCTAAAAAAATCAATACTTGTATCCGTTTACTAATATGCTTCTCCATTTTTGTTTGCCTTTTTCTTTTTTCTTCATATATCTGCACATAGTGCGTATGGCGTAGTTATGCAGCTGATGAGAAATCGGTTTCCATTGCTACCTGGAAGCCTCATTTGAAGGCCTTACATACCTGCAGCCCTACAAAGTAGGTAAAAATATGGCAGCTGGTGTTGTACTTGATATCTGGTTTTGAGATTATACAAATCAGTCTGTGGTTTTTGTCTTGTCTTTCTCCTTTCCCTTTTCCCCACTCATTTCCTTTTATTTTCTTTCACTGAGGAACTCAGGTAGCAAACTGGGGCATATACACATACATCAGTGGTGGGTTTCAAAAATTGTTCGAACCTACTCTGTGGGCGTGGCCTCCTTTGTGGGAGTGGCTTGCCAGTCATGTGACCGGATGGGAGTGGCTTGTCGCCCATGTGACCGGATGGGAGTGGCTTG